ATAACATGCGTCGGAGCGGGCTATGTTGGTGGTCCCACATGTGCAATGATTGCATACAAGTGTCCGGACATTCAGGTATATTTCTGATTATTCTATTTATTGTTTATTATTCTATTATTATCGCCTATTTTCTCTTGAGAGCAGTTTGGAACATTCTGAATGACTAGAATGAGCGTTATCGCAAAACAGTGGAAGTTTTGCGGCTTCAGCCACAATGGTGACAGGGCTTAAAGGAATCTTGCGCGGAAAATTCTTGCACTCTTTCCTAACATGAATATGTCAGTTGTGATCACTGGAAATAGCACACAAAGTTTCACGCATGAAGATTCGGTTTCTGAAGAGAAACAAACGTACAAAAACTACACGTTATGGACCATCGAAGGACCAGGAGGCAGAGCCAGGCGAGGCATGGAAAGAAGACGGCGTTTGGCCGGCTACGTACCAGGCGACGCAATGAGAGAATCGGGTTAAAGCGCGCGATTTCGGAGAGTGGAGACAAATCGATCGATGGAATAGGATGGAGTAGAAGTGTAAGATGTGAATGCAACGAAGCAGAAGGCCAGAAAGAGCTTCTAGTGAATGCACTCCAAGAACCAAGTTTGAGCATCCCCGTCGCCAGCATTCGTGAAAGACGTCCGTGGGCAATTCGAACGCGTAGCAGCCTTTTCGAGTTTTCGAATTTCTAATCAAAACGAAAGCAATACTTCAGTTCTTTTCACTATTATCGTGGATAATGAGTCTCAAGCCAGTGATTTATGGCTGAAATATTAGGATGGTAAGAAAGTCCTGAGCCGTTTGACACTTTTTTGTGCTTTACTTTTTTATTCCGCGTACAATGGAATCTACTCAACAATATAATCACCATTGTTACTCACTACAGAGTCCCACCTAATGGGCAGGTCAGCGACCCCCTTCTCCCAGAACTGAGCAGACTGAGAGTCAAAGAAATCGCTGACCGCTCTTCCAACTTCTTCAACTTTGGTGTGAATTTTTTCTTCGCTAGGGATCCTTAAGGGGATGGAGTAAGTGATAATCAGAGAGGGCAATGTAAGGGGAATAGGGTGGGATGGGGAACCGCGTCCCAGATCAGCTCTTCCAATTCTGCACGGGTCTCTTTAACTTTGTGGGGCCTGGCGTCATCGTGGAGTAGGTGGACAGAAGTTCGTCTCGGTCGTTTTTCTTGAACAGCGTCCGCTAGTTTCTAGAGCTGACTGGCGTAAATGCTGCCGGTAGCGGTATGTCTTTACGGGAGCATATCATAGTACAGCATTCCTCACGAATCCCAGAGGTAGCAAAGGAGACAGCTTTTGGGGTGAAGGTCCGATTTTGCTTGTGTCGGCAGGCCCTCTCTTCGAGGGAGCCACACGGCACTGTGCTTGTTAGAATCGTAGAGGACCCAACTCTCATCTCTCGTAATCACGCCTTCCAAAAACTCCTTTCGGTGCGGGCAAAGAAGGAGAAACTGACAAATGGGTACCCGCCTGAACCGCGTGCTATCGGTCAAGACATGAGGAATCCATCGAGTCAGCACTTTCCTGTGGCGAGGTCGTGAAGGGGACCGAGGACTGTGGGATGGGTGCACCCGAGTCTTCACAAGGCTGCGGGTGCTAACGTCCGGATCCTCTTCGACAGCGCCGAGAACGGTGGAGTCTTCCACCTTTTGTGGGCTTCCCAACCTTGTCTTTTCTTTGAAAGCCGTGTCTCCTCCTTCGAAGCCTGCGAACCAGAGCTTGGCACTGATGATGGAAGTGGTGTCCCTTCCCAATGCGATGCTGATAATGTCATTGAAGATGATCGCTCGAAAGTGCTCTTGTGGAATCGACATCATGATTAAAGTTAAAGAAGGCAACCCGGCTATATATACCTACTGCGGAGAAGTATGATCGACAGCGATAATCTATCACGTAGCAGATTCTAGGTATCGATCAATAAGCGAAAGTTCTGGAGCTTTCAAAAAATCGGCTCAGGACTTTTTTACCATCCCAAGTATATTTGATTTTCCGCGAACCTGACGCCTTTAAGTGTTATCAAGTCAGTTTCAGGAGTAAGCAAAGCTCTAAGAAGGGAGAGGGCGTTTAAACATACATCCAGTTGCATCGCAGCACTTTTCATTGTTCCCGATACTCTCTCCTCCTTAAGACTTAGTTCGTGCGGGATTTAAGTTGTATAGTCCCCTAATGCAACTGCTTGTGGTATGAAATGCTGTAAGCATTACAGATTGCATGAATAGTCGATGCTTAGGTTACGGTGGTCGATATGAATATGGAGAAAATCACTCAATGGAATTCCGACAAGCTGCCCATCTACGAGGTAAGGCTCTCGGCGCCGATTTAATTAGGCAATCCCACTATTTTTGTTCGATTACAGCCCGGCCTGGACGATATAGTTTTCGCAGCACGTGGTCGAAATCTCCATTTCGTCACGGATATCCCGCGAGCAATTCAAGAAGCCGATCTGATTTTTATATCAGTGAACACGCCAACGAAGATGTACGGTAGAGGCAAGGTGGGTGGGTCAGTGCAGTCACTCATGTGGGAGTAAATAGTTCAATGGCGAAATCGAGACGAATTGCTGTGCAAAAGGTCTCGGTTCGACACTCACAGAGAAATGTATCCCTGGTGAACGGGGAAGCTTGAGAAGCAGAAAATGCTCCGTGCGTAAATTGCGATCACTGCCAGTGTGTACATAATTCTTCAACTTTTTTATATTAGACTAGGTAATTCTTCAAACTTTTCGGTTACAACTACAGTGCATGACACATCCAATTTGGGTCGTCGCAAAGCGAAACTTCTTTATTTCCGTCGCTTCTGGAAGAAGAAAGCGCTGTTATATTATCTCTACCCTTATCGTATCGGACTCGCGATTCTTATCATCCCGTTTCGCCTGACTCATTTATCACTTCGGACCAGGGTGAATAACGGGCCAGGAATTCGTCGACCATGGCTCTGTACTGTGCGAGAGCTGTGGCGAGAGTGAACTCACTCGCGGAGCGCACAGACGGCTCGTGCATAGCGAGTGTAAATGTCGGCAGAGCGTAATGATCAAGGTGAAAATCCTCGACAAGTCACCGAGGATTCCCCGACGATATCACTATTGCTTCGCGAGCTTACTTTTAGCGATAGGTAGAGGTTATCGCAAGACTTTCCATCGGGAATTAAAATCCATGCCCGTGATAGTTTCCATCGCAATGCGATGCGAAACAAAGTTCGCGGGGAAAGTGTCGGCTGGAATGTTAGCGCTGGCTCTCATAAGTTGTTATAGAGCATCAATAGGCATTCAGAGCCTTGAACCTTCCATTGGGACTCGAATGCGAGGCGTATTCTGAAAATATCGAGACGGCTTTTTTTCTTCAGAGTTTCTTCCTTTTTTAAGGGAATGGCTCCCGATCTGAAGTATGTCGAATCAGTGTCGCGCACAATTGCACAGTATTCTGAAGGTCCAAAAGTAAGTTTTTCGATGACTGTCCAATTATTTTTACTGTTCCATTTTTTCCTCCCTTTGCCACTTTCCCTTTCTTTCCCATTCGCTTTTGTTTTACGAAAAAATTGTCTCAAAACAATAATTTCAAGATCGTAGTTGAAAAAAGTACTGTCCCGGTGCGAGCCGCCGAAAGCATCAACTGTATTCTTCGAGAAGCCCAACGAAACGATCCTCGTCTGTCTTTTCAGGTAGTTTTACATCCTCTTAATATTTTTGCTTAGTGATGGGAAATATCAGTCAGTGATCGGAACAGTTCAGGTGCTATCGAATCCAGAATTTCTGGCTGAAGGGACAGCCATCAGAGATCTGTCGAATCCGGATCGTGTACTCATCGGTGGAGAAACTTCACCTGAAGGTATGAGAGCAGTTTTTGCATGTGGAACGATAACAAAGAGATTGTATCGGGTTTATAATATAAAGCAGTAAGGGATGAGTTATCCGAAATAATATAGCAATATCCATAAAAACATAAAGCATAAAGCAATCGGTTTCAATTCCGTCTTGGATACGCCACGCATTCTACTTCCACTAGTAATCGTAGTGGCACCGTGGAGGCAATGCATACAATGACTTGCGGGGCCAGGAGATGTAGGGATAAGGATAAAGGATAAAGCATTTGCCGTTGATCAATCCCTTTTTGGGATGCGGCACGCATTCTACTTCCATTTGTACATTCGTAGTGGCGTTTGAATGCGATGTGGCCTATACAATGACTTGCGGGGGCCAGCCGATGTACAAGTCAGTGTTTTTATCCTCCCAGACAAGTCTGGTACCAATTAACCGACCCCGGAGGGATGGAAGGCTTGGTTGGCCCGGGCGACTCACGACCCAGGATTTGATCCCCGGACCGCTCGCGTGGTAAGCGTGCGCCACTTGCCACTACACCACTTCCGCCCAGGAGAAGTTAGTTAGTCTAGTTTATTTATTTCCCATACAATTCTGTTACCGACTTCCCTGCCGCGGTGAGGTAGAAGACTTGTTTGGCTTGCAGGAGGTACGGTCCAGGACTTGACCCCCGTCCCGCGAGCGTGGTAAATGGCGCCGCTTGCCGCTATACCGCTTTCGCGAAAAGCAAGGGGAATATCAAAGCCTCTCTTTTAAGGTGTTGATTAGGCACATTTTGTACAAACCTATAATGGAGGGAGTGGCGAAACAAGTTCGAGAGCTATGTGCGGTCCTATGCATAGATGAAAAATAAACTCATAGCGCTAGGTGAACTTTGGATGGCTACAAAAGTGGGCGGTACCGATCTGGATATGATTGCACAAATGAATTATCAAATAGATTGCAAAAGAACGCGGGGTATGAACAAGATTTCCGTCCTAGGCGGGGCGAGCACGTACCTCTCGCTTACCGGACAAGGGCGCTACATGTTAAGCTATCGGGGCACCGTTTCGCACAAACTCAGTACTCTTTCACGGACATTTACCTCAGCTTATCAGCATACTGATTGTTTATTTGTTTGTTATTTGTTTGTTATTGCTTGTTTCTTATTATTTGTTCATAACCCAGCATTTTTGTAAAACTTGAGCAAGACGAACTGTGGTTAAAAATAGCACCAATCAACAATGAGTTGATCTTCAGGAGCTGCCGCTGTTGCTGAGCTGGTGCGAGTCTATGAGCACTGGGTTCCGAGAGATCGCATCATCACCACGAACACTTGGAGCTCTGAATTGTCGAAGCTGGTAGGTTCCGTACTGCCTTCATCCAGGGTACAATCGTTTATTACAACAGCCGATCTAAGCACTGTGACTAGGGTAGTCCTTTTACACGAGCAAGCACTATAACATATAAGCCAATATAGAGTTCATGGCGCATCTTTGGATTTTTGTGGTATCCAGTCTTTGGTTTTTAGGCTGCTAACGCCTTCCTTGCGCAGCGGATATCGTCGATAAACGCGATTTCGGCGATTTGTGAAGCGACAGGAGCCGATGTGCAAGAGGTCGCTCATGCGATCGGCTTTGATTCGAGAATAGGAAACAAATTTTTGCAGGCTAGCGTAGGTACGAGCTTCGTTAGAACTTTTTAGTGACCCATCGCACCTGCATGGCTTACTCCAGTTACTCCGATTACAGGGACTGTAAAAGCAATAGACTACTAATAGCTAATGAGCTATTAGTAGTCTATTGCTTATAAGCTAATGAGCCTATGCATTTGCAGGATTCGGTGGAAGTTGCTTCCAGAAGGATGTTCTCTCGC